CATGGGGGTTAAATAATCTTGCTGGTGATAGGTATCTAGCTAGGAAGAGGACAATAAATCAAGCTATGAAATTCCTTTTTTTTCTTCACTGAAGAGATTTTACTAGAAAAAGGATTCCCAAAAGCTTTCCTCCACTGAGATTTGAAAGCATTTGAGCCTTGTATTTGTCATTTGTCCAAATTAAGAACGCTAATGTATCTCAGCCCAAGTAAACGTGGATTTCTTCTGCTACTTCTTTTATTTTGCCTTCATTTTATTAAGTATATTGTCAGCTTTTTCACAAAGCAGGAAAAGTTATTTCCTTTAGAGCTATGTCCCCCCATTCCAGAAACATAAAGAAAAATACCCTTGTATATCTGTTTAGCTAGTGAGGTGATGCAGGCAGTAAAAAAAAATCATGAGGAGCACTTTATGGACTGAGGACACATCCCGATAAACACTGCTTCTAGACATAGACAAGATGGGAAGGAGAGAAGTTGAAACGGAATATTGTGTTTTTCAGAACGTTTTGAAAGTAATGATATTTAAGGCTACATAGTTTTCTTAAAGAGACACCAGCGAAGATCTCACTACCGTTTGGCTTCCTGAACATTTTGTATGGTATGCCCATCTCTCTTACTGTTGCATTTAGCTAGCATTTTGGTAACGACTTGAAAACAAAGCATACTGGTGGAGTACACTACTTCTTGGGCACTTCAGTTATTCCACGGAAAAGGCAGCTTCAAGGGAAATACCAAACGTTCTCCTGAAATTACAGGAGAACATTCCTAGAGCTAAAAATGCCGTCCACTTATGTGGTCTTTTGCCAACAGGAGAGTAACTAGCACTGCATGGTAAAAGGCCACCTGTGTTACAATTCACCCAGGGGCACAGCCCATGTCACCGATTCTAGATATGTGAACGTCACAAGCTAATTACAGATACTGAGGACTTTTTCCCTTTTCTCTGTCGGGGTGGTGATGTTGAGGGAGGCGGCCAAGAGGAAAGGAGATATAGGGCTGCAAGTGTTCCAGCTCCCCTAGTCTGTGAGTAACTTTTAGACCTAACCGTGACAGGGTGCGTAACGCTGCTTCAGCAAAGAGGGTGACTGAAGGCACCCTGAGAGGGCTCTGTACCCCTTCCCACCAGGAAGGAGACTGACTGACTTGCTGTGTTACTTGGACTCCAACAAAATAAAAGAGCTTTAGTTAGGAATGAGCAATTAGCAGTTCCTGGAGAGAATTATAATTTGACATTTATAATGGCAATCATTTTTTTCCACCTTTTAGAAGCAAAATATTACCCTACCTCTCTAGTATTCTGCTATTTACAAAGCAGGATGATATACAAAGATGATTTACATATGATATACTCCTCCACTGCAGCTTTTTTCCAGCCTGTGAGATGTTTTGTTTGTTACGAAGTGTATGGAGGGTGCCACTACGGCTGTGTATCCTGCTGCTTTGAGCAAGCGTGCTCACCCACCTGCTTTCTTGCAACTCCACAGGAGAAAGACAAGTTGTGAAAATGACAACAGTGCACTCCATGCAAGTACAGGATGAGAAACATTTTATTTATAACCCTGTCATATTGGGGCTACCCTAACCAAAAATAAGCTTGAAAGTAATCCCGACTTGTGTCTCTGGATTCTCCAGTTTCTTGAAAAGCAGTGTATAAAACAGCGGTTTGTACTTTGCTTTTAGACAGTCATAGCATCATGGAGAAATTGTGAAGGTCAGTTGCACTGTGGACAACTCCACATCTATCTGTGCCTTTCAAATTATACTTGTGCTTCTTCCTTATTGCCAGTTTTGGTCTGCCTCCATTTTTCTCATACGGGTCTGGACTGGTTGCCAAGAATCATTAGGTTGACTTTGCTAAGACTTCTCCTGACACATGTAATTGTAGCATTTATTCCCAGCTAGCAAGCACAATATTGAGGCCTGACACAAATGCCAAAGTATGACAAGAGCACTTAGTACAAAAACTACGGTACCGACAGCTTTACAGACAACTTTAAACACTTCTATTCCGATGTCTCAAAGGGACCAAACAACCAGGGATCTGATTTCCAAATAGACAGTTCTTTCACACAACCCTTGAAATACATTATATTTCTGTGTATGTTAGGAAGTCCTTGCTACTGAAAAAAACCCCCCATAAATAAATCTGGTTGCAAATAATCAAATTCTTAGTCTGTCTTCTCAAGCTGAAGCTAAACATACACATTAACCCCAATGGCCAATTCTTGCTGTTTTACCACAAGCCTGACATAGAATTTCACATACCTTCACTGTTGGAAAAACATCATTATGTGAGGTCATCTTTTCCTTCCCAGAACGTTTCTAGTCCTGACAGTTTCTTTCTTCAGCGCAGATAAGGCTCTAAAACAAGACAAAAATAAACCTAAAGGCTGGCCTTTTTGCTGTACCTATACCATTTACTATAAAAAAATGTTTTTTACATCTTGCTTTAGGAAGTCCTCCTTTCTCCACAGTGAAGTCCACTGAAAACAAGCCACAGCTGGATTAGTAAGAAAGCAAAGCTGCGATGCAGAGTTACAGGAGAAAAACTAGCCTGTCAGTTCTGTTGTTGACATGGAGATTTACAATGGCTTTCAGGCAGCTTCATATGGTAGAAACTCACATAGGGCGGGCAAAAATAGTATTACATTTTCTAGTTTTAAACTGTGTATTTTTATATAGTCTTGCTATAAGGTAAAAAATGATTACAGGTATAGTATGGGCTTAAGGCTAGTAATCTTAGTATTAGATTATAAACTTACATAGCTTGCAAAATTTCTGAGGGGCTCTGACAAACCTGCTCCATCTTGCATTCACGACAAAACTCTTGCAGAGGTGGTTTTCAGTAACCGCCATGGTATGACACATGCTTATAGCAACTGGAGATAAGCGGTGGCAGGTGAAGGTGGTATGTAATGCTGTCAATCAGTACTGCAGCAGGTTGCAATGAAACAATGACAGCCTCAGATATTTTCTTCTTTTTTTTACTGGGTTATAAATCAATTAGGTTGGTTTGAAAATGTCTTCTGAAACAAAAGTTTTGGCAAGTGTAATGCTAGGAATTGGGAAGAGTCATAAGCACAAGTCATAAGGTGTTATTGACTCTACTGCTTTCAAGAAAATAACATGAAGACCAACGGGAGTCAATTGCTTTCGTTACTTAAAGACACTTTTCCAGATGGACATTAATGATGTCAATACCTGTAGGTAAAAATTTATCAAAGTTACTTCATGGCAATATATCAAGCACCTCAACCATTTCTCATACTTAAAACAGGGAGCCACCGACAGAGACTTCCATAGCTTTTGACCATGTGTAAAATTGTGCGCTTGTTAGTCTTGGCAAGCATGCACTGAGGGATGAAAGAAAACAGACAAATTTGTAACTCTGCTGAAACTAATGGCTATGAAATCACTTTGGTCAGTCTCAACTGACGTTCAAAGTTTTGTAAAAACCCCTTTGGCCTGCACAGTAGAAGTCAGTTATATTGTATACAGTGTAGAAACTCCAAAACGCCTTGCAGTTTAACACAGATTGACATTGGCAACTACTCTGCTCACAAACTGGGATGAATGCCTGATTCCTCTTCATTGAATACTTTCAAACAATATGAGGATCTGACTGAAGCCAATGTTGTAGTACTTAACATAAAGCAAAGTTATCCAGGTCTAACGAAGTATTACGTTTAATTGTTATGATTATGCAAATGAGATTACTAGGAGACAGATGAACAGGATGGCTAAAGTCCAGTGAAGTATTACTAAAGGTCTATATATGATATTTGTGGCACTGTACAAGGGAATATTGTATGAATTTTAGAACAGTCCAAAGGTACAATTAAATGAACTCATAATAAGGGCTGATAACTGAACACCACTGTGTGCTTAATGTAAGGATAATTAACTAGTGACTAAAAAGCTCATAACATATGATGGGTAACTACAGAAAAATGCATTAGTTGGTGTTTAGAAAGTGGTTAAATGTAAGAAGCTAAAGCTTGAAATTTTTTGGTTGGTGCTTGCCGTGGTTTAACCTGGCAGGCAGCCAAATACCACGCAGCTGCTTGCTCACTCCCCCCGCCAGTGGGGCGGGGAGAGAATCGAAAGGGTGAGAGTGAGAAAAACTCGTGGGTTGAGATAAAGACAGTTTAATAGAACAGAAAAGGGAAAATAATAATAATAATGATAGAATATACAAAATGAGTGATGCACAATGCAATTGCTCACCACCTGTGCTGACCGATAACCAAGTAGCAATTGGGACTTCCTGGATCACGCCTACCATTCATATACTGAGCATGACATCACATGGTATGGAATACCCCATTGGCCAGCTGAGCTGGCTGTCCTGATTATGTTCCCTCCCATCTTGTGTACCTAGCTCAGCCAGTAGGCATGGGAGCTGCCCTTGGACTAGGAGGGTACTTAGCAACAACTGATAACATCAGTGTGTTATCAACATTCGCCTCATACTAAATCCAAAACACAACACTAGGACGAAATTTAACCCTATCCCAGCCGAAACCAGGACAGATGGGCACGACTGAGTCCGATTATTAATACACAGGGTCATGCTTGCTATCTGCCATGTTGCAGTAAGAAAGAAATCCAGGTGAGAAATTTGGTCATGAGTTGAGCTTTTGAGTTTTGGTTAACTTATATGAATCTGATTCCCAGAAGATTTAGATTAGTTAAGTTAATGGAAAAACTGTAGGCAGTGCTGAGCAGCTACAACACTGTCATTAGTTAGCGGAGCAGCATGGCAAACATTGGAAGGGGCAGACAGTACGGCTGACCTGTATGCTATTAATATATTTAGAAGATACCAATAGTGAAGTCTTTACCTTCAGTCATTTGCCATGGATGTGTGTCTTCATAATCCATATTCTTACACGCCTTTGGGCTAGATCCCCTTTGCATCACTAAAATACATTCTTATTTTACCACCTTATCTACACAAAGGCATCCAGAATGAAAACAGTGAGTTTGTCTACACTTAAGTACCACTTTCTTTATTGCAGTGCTAGTGGGAAATCCAAGCAAAGGAAGACAAAAAGCTCCCCACCCAAACCTAAAATCTTGGAAGACTCAGTTTTGAGGTGTGTAGAAGTATCATCCAGCATTAAACTGTTTATTATGAGCCATTATTTTCCTATGTCAAAACTATTTGTCGTAAGTGATGGCCCTACTATTTTTCATTGGCTTCACTTCAAATCCTGTATCTGTCATTACGAAAGACCTTAATGGAGGTCCTGAGAGGCTACGTCCTGTAACACAACCCCAAAGCTGCAAGATACAATCAAGAATACCAAACAATTCATGTGTAGACTCGCTACACCACTATCATCCAATACTCAGTGAGATGAGGCGGCAACTTTGATCACTGGCTATCTGTTGTCTTCTATGACAATGGTTCTTCTAGGATAGGTGTCAACATCCACAAATATGTAGCGGACATCGAATCTTCCTCTCTCAGGATTCTGTAATGAAAACAATTTCAGGCTCTGTTTTTTACTTTGGTAGTTTAAATTCAAGATTAAGCTTGTCAGCTATATCAAGCAATTGTACATACCTCTTTGACTTCCACATGGACTGTTCCCCGCTTCCCTGGTTCAGAGCCCTCAATATAGAACTTCAAACGCATATGTTTCAGTCCATCCTTTACGTATTCAATGTGACTAAAAACAGCAAAAGAAAACAAAAAACCCACCCACCCAGCAAGGATACATATTATATGCTAGTTAAACTTCAAATTTTAACTTCTTCAAATTCAAACTGTGTTCAGCTCTAGGGCCCCCAACATAAGAAGGACATGGACCTGTTGGAGCAAATCCAGAGGAGGGCCACGAAGATGATCAGAGGGCTGGGGCACCTCTCCTTATGAAGACAGGCTGAGAGAGTTAGGGTTGTTCAGCCTAGAGAAGAGAAGGCTCCGGGGAGACCTTATAGCAGCCCTCCAGTACCTAAAGGGGGCCTACAAGAAAGCTGGAGAAGGACTTTTTACAAGGGCATGTAGTGATAGGACAAGGGGTAATGGCTTTAAACTGAAAGGGGGTAGATTTAGATTAGATATAAGAAAGAAATTCTTCACTATGAGGGTGGTGAGGCAGTGGAACAGGTTGCCCAGGGAAGTTGTGGATGTCCCATCCCTGGAAGTGTTCAAGGCCAGGTTGGATGGGGCTTTGAGGAACCTGGTCTAGTGGAAGGTGTCCCTGCCCATGGCAAAGGGGTTGGAACTAGATGATCTTTAAGGTCCTTTCCAACCCAAACCATTCCATGATTTAGAGGAGCTGCTTAACTATTTTGCGAGAAAGTGTATTCCGATGCAGTCCTTATTCTACATTGGGTTCCTTCTCTACTGCTCTTCCCAAGCTTCCCATACTGTGAGCATATAATGAATAGTGGAATTAGAAGAAAGAACTAATTAGCAGTTGAGTATTAACAGATGAAGTGCTTAAATGTCCTCACCCCAGTCCTCCCCTCAAAACCCAACAGTAATCCAATGGCTGAAGATTCTGGAATTTCCTTGTATTTATTCTAAAGAACACCCAGATTCAGAGCCTGACATCTAGAAAGGAGCAACCACACCACCAAGACTGCCAGGGGATTTTTAGGCACTTAAACTAAGTTACCAAGCCAAAAGACACAAAGAATGTTTTGTCAACTTAATTATTACAGTTTTACTATATGCTTTACTTATTCTGGCAATAATTTTTTTCTACTGAAGTTGTATAACGTTAGCACTGATATCAGATATCAGATCTCCAACCTAAATACTGATATTTAGACTGGAGTTAGGTTATGCTCAATAATAGTAATAGATAAATAGAAACGTCATGTCACTTTCAAGGCGACCACTTCCAGAAACTAATGGTCAAACTAGAGTTCTGGTGCCAGTTTATGTTTCCTACAGAAATTACTAACTGCTGCATGTTACCAAACTCTTGTTTCCATCAGTCATGCCCAGATACATACTATGAATTAAACTTCCAATACAGTTTAAGGTGACATGATGGGTTACAGAGAACAAGGATGAATGAAGAGCCTTACTGCATAAAATCACATTCAAGGTGTTCATACACACAAAAAAAAAAAATCTGTACTTTGATTAAGGTCATCCTTATACTGCAGACACAAACACTACAATCTCACAAAGTCCTCAGCTCAAAAATTTATTTAAAATACTGGACTTTCAAAATGATGGAAATGAAATACTAGGAAAGCTGATAGTACATTTACGTATTTACATAGTTTGTTTTACAGACAGATGCTTAAAACGTTTGGGAATATCCTTTTCATTTAACAGCTCCACTTTAAACGCTTTTTCACAGAGTCTGGTGAAAAGATAAAATTTCACCAGTAAAAATCACCTCCCTCAAGAAAAAAAATTCTCAAATTCATGGTTCAAGTCATGTATCTGGGCTTATGTGTCCCATCCTATAAGAAACCTCCTTGAATAAATTCAAGTCAAAGAACCCAATAAAGACAAAGCCCCTATGGGGTTATAGTGCAGGGAGGATTTACATTTTCTAAGAATTAGTTCTGTTGTTTCCCTCAAAAGGAGAATAATAAATAGGCACACTTACGAAAGGTTTAGGTGAGACATATTCTGTTACAGACACAGTAGAGATGTGGCCTCAAGTACCAAAAAGCAGTATAAGAAACAGGCAGTCAATACTGCATATCAGCTCGGGACAATAGTCACTGCAGTGACTACAACTTGTACAGTCAGACCCAGCCTAGCTTTAAACAGAGCAAGCTGGGTTCTTGAAAGTCTGAAAATTAGTACCTTGTGCTCTTTCTGGCCTGGTAAGAACTACTGCTTCAAAAGGAGAAAAACTCTCAAAGAACAATTTTTCAAATAACAATTTCACTCTGTTTGAGGGTTTCAGACTGTAAACTTCAGTCAGATCCCTGCTCCCAGAGCCTAGGCCTCTGTACTACTCTCTTCAGACTTGTCCTATTTTTTGGAGAAACCAGCTCTATGTTTACTGTGCTGACCATTGCTTGTTTTGAGGCACTCAGAATTGCCATTTTATATTGTATGTGCACTGTATTTAGTGGTAAGTGCCACGCAAGAGGTACTGCAAAAAACTGCTTTCGTTTTCACTCAAAAGTGACGGGGTACATCACATATAGTTCATTAATCTAGATCTAACTTGCTATGATGTGACCCAAAATGTATTTGCTGTGCAAAAACTAGTGTCTGTATAGAGCAAACACCAAAGGGCACCTGACAAGTTGTCGTCTTCCTCTTCTTGTTGCCTCCCCATAACCTTTAATGGATTCACCAAAAACACCAATTATCTACAAGAGAAAAGAGGTTTGAGTTGTCAGAAGGTACCACATTCAAACAGATATTCCAGTATCAGCTCACGCCCCTGCTGTGAATGCATTTTCTTTCAACAAAATGCCCCTTGGGAGTCTGATGTGTCAAGAACAGAAGAGTTTATGAAAGAAAACAGTGTAAGGAAAATTCCTCTGTATTTCAGTGCTTTTCTTTACAGTCACATATTAAATGTCTAAAATAAATCCTACTACTATCTTCCATTTATACTGTCCTCTGAGATTATGACATTTTAATCTCTCTTTTTACTGACTTTTTACTCTTCTTTACTGACATTTTGTGTAAAAAGGAAAAAAAAGCATGAAATATTTGCTCGTCTCCTCCAAGAGAATGTTTCAAAGTTTAAAATGCAAATGCACTCCCCTTCATGTTATCTAAAAAACACTACTGTTTAAGAAATTCAATGATTTTTTTTTTTTCCCCAGATCTATAAAGCCAGACCAAATTAACCTAGTTTTAAACTTACTTTAAACATGGTTAGATTTTTACTGTACAAGTACGGGAGAGAAGTTTTAATTCTACAAACTTTTTCCAAAGCAGTGTTAATTTTTATTCTAGTGACAACTTGTCACTTCACTTCTAAGTTATCCTCAGTGGCATCTGTGGCAACCTTGTTTGAAAGTTATTCCATGCATTTGGTTTTTTGCCTGAAGTAGAGGTTTTTAAAATCCAGTTTTAGATTGATTTTTGTTTACATCTAGCTATCTTATGTGACTGTGTGATCACATGACTGTTCGCCTTCTCTTTTCCCATTAGCCACAGGAATGCTAACCATGTTTCAAATGAAGAGTTTAAATTCCTGGATACTTATGCAGTGCTTTGCAGAATGACAGAACCCTAGTGAAGTGTCACAACAGAAAAACTGTGCTGAGGAAAGGCAGCAGGCTAGATCTACAAAACTTAAGTGGGACCAGTTGCCTCCCTGACTGGCAGAACTCCTACTACATTTAGTAGGCACTTGGGTATGTCTATAAGACTTTCTGTATGAAGACACAAACACATGCTCTGAAAGGGCAGACACTTGTTGCTGCATCAGTTATTGTGCTGTGGTACACTCACTTAACTTGGCTTTTAGCAGGCTAATTCACTCAGGCTCAGTGCTTGCATTAACTTGTCCTAATATAGGCTCCAATTTGGAACTGACCCACCTCCGGCCAGCTAAAAGCACAGGCAGATCTGCTGGTGTTTGCCTGCTAAGCACCACACAGGTCTTCCTGTGGCTTTGCTTGTGAGATTCCTTGTGCAAACTTTTGACTCAAAGAGAGACAGTAACTACTGAGAAACATAAACTTATGACTAAGGTTCAAAAACCAACCTCAGGGTGAGATCTGCATTTCTCCAAGGCATCTCCATAGATCTTACTCGGACTAGAAGAAGAGAATAGCTCTTTAAAAATCACATAGAACAAACCACCTGTAACAGAAACAACAGCAAATGGAATGAAAACTAATCAAACCAGATAGAATTAACGAAAAGTGTCTTCTGATAATGAATATAATTTTTAAAAATAACCTGTAACACCAATTCCAACAAGCACCACAATAAAATAGGTAAAGTCTCTTCCAGCTTCTTTCACTGAAATAGACAGAAAACAACGCAGGAGTTACACTCTTGGATAGTAAGAGTTGCACAGCTTTCTTATATAAATGCTCCTTTCTTAGTCTGCAGCTCAAGTAACATTTTGGCAGAAGAAAAAATTCTAACAACAGCTTCCATAATGCCTCATCACTAAAAGCAAGAGACCATGGAATGTCTCTTATGTTGTACAGGACATATTTATATCTCTATATTAAGCCTTATTATTTTCTGTTTTCCTACTATATGTTTTCAAGACTCAGAATAGCACTTATTGCTACTTTTTATGTACATGAGAGCTAGTTTTTTTAAGAACTAATGAGGTATTTAGCACTGCAGTATTCAAGCTACCATATAAACCCACAATCATTGCAATCCTTATGCAGAGAAAGGGAGAAGTAAAAATAAAAAAGCATAAGCTTATATATGGCACACATTTACTGAAAATAACTGATTTTATGAATTCTCAATCAAGTGAGCAATAAAAAGTAGGGATATTAGACCAAAATATGTCTTTTATTTATTGAGACTGTCAACTGCAGTTTATCTGATTAGTTTTTCTCTATTAGTTTTGATCTAATATACTAATAAAAGTGTCAGTATACACTCCAAAAAAAGTCATCTGAGATTCTCTGTTACAAAGTATTTTTGAGAACTTGGAAAGAGACTACTGATTTAAGTGATAAGGTGTGCCTTTCAATGAATTACAAGTTACTGAGGAAACTTTAATAAGCACTTTTCCTGCAGTCTTCTAATCAGTTGAAGATGTTTTTCATAAACCTTTTCAAAGCACTTAGAATTTCTGAGGCTAATTACATAGTAACCACTTTTCACTGAAGTGAATGAGACCAACCAAAGTGACAGCCGTCCTATAAAAAAACTAGCACCCACATGTAGAGCTTGGACAATTTTGTTGGAAGTAAACTTGTTTTAACAGCATCGAGACAGGCTGTGTGTGATAGGTTTTTCTTTTGAAAAGGGAAACGAGAAGCTACCTCATCTTATCCCTGATGTGACCTACACACTAAATCAACCAGCTGTTTTGAAGAAGCCATGTAATTTCTGTTCTGCTTGTGCAATGCATACACTGAAATGTATCACCTGCTGCAAACAACACGATGTGAAAAGAAAAGGGCTTGTTGGTTTTCTGAGAATTGTAACTTTTTTCAATTCCCGAGCTTGGGGGCTCTAAAATCTAACCGCAGCAGTAATTTTCTCCGCGCCAGCCTCTTTGAACAGTGCTCAGTATCACCAGCGACTACAGCCCGTCTTACCTCTTGGAGCAGCCGACAGCACAGTTTCTTCCCTCCGATGCCTTTGCACGGACACGCGTTTGCCATTATCGCCAGATTTTTCGGCTCTCAGCCCCCCGGCGTGCGTCCCGATACTCTGCCGGGCGGCCCGGAGCAGCGGGGCGGGCTCCCTGCGGGGGGGCTGCTGCAGCCACCTCAGGCAGG